TGATATTATTAAATTTTATTTTCAGCAATATTTATATTTATTATTTTTAATTTCTTTTTCTTATTGTATTAACACTGAAAAAAGGGAAAAGACTTCAAATGATTGTTAGTGGAATGTGTTGAGACACTTACATATTTATATTTGTGTGTATGAATATAATCGTGGAAAAATATTAATTAATTTTTGAAAAATATTGATTAATTAATTTTTGTTTCTCATTAAAATTTTATTCTATAATTATTTTGTATGATATTTGCTAGAATTATTATTATTTTAATTATTACATACATAAATGTATTTATGTGTATGTATTAGTTAGTGTGCTTTTTAATTAAAAATTATGCTGAATTACATCTGTCTCTTATACACATCTAGATGTGTATAAGAGACAGCTTTTTATTTAATCATTTTAATTAGTTAATTAAATTAATTTTTAATTAATTAAATTAATTTTAGTTTAAATGTTAGTTTTTGCGTTTTAAATTGAAGTTTAAAATTAAAATTAATTTATTACAAATGAGATCACAGTATTAGAGATATAAGTTAATTTAAGTTTTGCTTTGTGCTTAATCTGCTGTTTTTTTTTTGCTTGAAACATAATTTTCATTTAACGTTTCTTTTGTAGCAAATTATGCGCTGGTTAGTCGTTACTTGGCTTTGTTTTTGTTTTTAGTTAACAGTTATTTCTTGTTCATATTTTCATATGTTTGTTTTGTGTTGAGTTTAGTGGAAAGTTATTTGCTTTTTTTTTTTTTTTTGTTTGTAATGGTTTATTAATGCAAAGTGTTTATGTTTTTGCTTTTGTTGTAATTTTCTTAATAACATCGTAAATTTTAGACTAAAATAGCTTTATAGTAGGCTAAACTATGGTAAATGTCTTGTATTTGCAGCTGGTTTCGAACCTTGCTGATATTTCTTTTATTACTTTTTGTTGTATTTTGTTTGTGTTTTGAACAGCAATATTTGATAGCAAACAGTTTTGGTTTGTTAAACTTTTGAAGTCAACAATATAACAACCTATGAAAGCGTTTTTAATATAACTTCTTTAGTTTCTTAATTTTGTCCTTTGAGTTTTTCTCAAATTCCAGCGAATTTGTTTTCGTGTTTCATGGTTTTTTAATTAGCTAAACTATGTTTGTTTTGTATATTTGTTTAATTTAACATATCTAATTTTAAATACACAGTTATTTTTAATATTTCAAAATATTTCATATTGAAATCATCATCGAGTGTTTCGCACGCATGTGATTTTATAGTAGAGTTCTTTTCAGTTTTGTTTTCCAAGATTTTATAGTATTTTTGACTTAATTAGTGCGGTAGATTAGAATTGTATGCTGTTTGTGGTTTGTTGGATTTCACAAAATTTGAGTGAAAGCTTTATATATTGGCAATTGGCAGTTGATATTAATGACAATAACGAATTCTTTTTTCAATACTACAAAATATGTGAACTGAGCTGTTGTTAACATATTTGTGAGTTTTAATGCACGAAAGCCTTTTAAAAGCTTTCGAAGCTTTCACTAGTAATTCAAAAGCACATTATGGAAAATATGCAGATACTTTATTTTGTACAAATAAGATTAAAAGTTAACGTTAAAGGTGTTTTGGAAACATTTTTGTTGTGTTCTACTCAAAAGTCGAAAGCACATGCGTAAGAACTTTTAGCGTTGCCAATTAAAAAGTATGAAAATAAGGCAGCATAAATGTCTGCTCTTTAAGCTCTAAACTATAACCACAGATCAAAAGTTGAAAAGTGATTTTGCTATAGAAAGCTTCAAAGCTTCTCATCCATTACTTGTCACCTGCCCAGTGCCATTATATACATTTCAACAATTAATTTATAAGGATTAACCACACTTTGACAAATATGTATAAAGTTTGTGAAAATATGAATCTATAAATGATAGCATTACTGTGTAAGAAATACTATTACCATATCCTGATTGCTGCCCACTGATGCAGTACGCGTGTTGAGACCACGCAATATGGCCAAAGGTATATTGCCAATAGATTCACTGCCATTTTCACTGCCAACACGATGTACGGACAATTCGTTTGTGCTATCGCTTTTCATGCGTATGATTGAAGTGGTGTTTGTAGACGCTTCAGCCGTACTTATGGCGCTGCTGTTGGCATTGCGCGCGTTCAGTTCAATATCGAGTTCGGATTCAGCCTCTTCATATTCTTCCATATCGTAGTCTTCACTACCCAACAATGCATCATCTTCGGTTAGGTCGCTGTCTTCGGGCATTTCAGTATATTCACCAAATATGTCTAAGGGGAAGGGGAAAGCCGTAGGCGGTATCTCACTGCGATTGCCGCGCAATGAAAGTTCCGCTGTGGGCATTACGTCCAGCGGTGTATTGGGTGAGAAGGGCGATGAAAGCTCCGCATGCCAGTCCTGCACCATTAGCGGTGTTTTTGTCAACGATAATGGCGGAGTTGTTCGTGCAATGGAATCATTCGATGATGAATTTGTTTCGGCCTACAAGCTAGTGGCGCTACTCGTTACAATAGGCAAATCGCCGGAATGAAGCATGTGATGGGCCGAGTGATGATGATGATGTTGCTGTTGGGCAGCCGCTGCTGCTGCGGCGGCGGCTTGTTGTTGTTGCTGCTGCTGCTGTTGTTGACTCAGCTTGGACTCCTTCTTAATGCGTTGCTTGAGATGTACTTTGGCGTGGCGTTTCTTCTCGTCGGAGCGCGCAAACTTACGACCACAGATGTCGCATGAAAAGGGCTTTTCACCTGTGTGGGTGCGTATGTGCGTTGTGAGGTGATCCGAACGGCTGAAAGAGCGCATGCAAATGCGACACTGAAAAGGTTTTTGACCGGTATGTATGCGTATGTGGCGGGTAAGTTCGTCGGAACGCGAAAAACGCCGATCGCAATTCTCCACGGGGCAGGCGTAGGGACGCTCGTGCACAGGCGTTTTGCTGGGTCGATTCGGATATTTGCGTGGCTTCACCGGCACCAATTTGAGCGGCATGGTGCTCTGCTGATATACTTGTGACAGTATTTCGTGACCTTTGCTCGTCGACGGACTGTATTCAGCTAGTTGCACAACAGAGTAGCCAGATTGGCTGCCTTGCGATGATGGCGGCTGCATATGGTGTGGCGGTGTGGGATCCGAGTAGGCCTCTTGCTTTGGAATAATACCACCAATTACGGATGCTGCGGCTGCGGAAGAGGTTGCGGATGATGGCCCAGGCACAACCAAGGACTGTTGCGCGCCACCGTATTCGGCTGGCGAATCCAGCCACTGGTACTTGGTTGCGGCGACGGATATTTGTTGGCGGTATTGTTGCAGCTCATGATTGGCTTGCGCTTGTTGCATGTCAGCAAGGCTGGTGAAGCTGCTGGTGCTGCTATAGCTTGGCGGCGGCTGCTTCAATATTATCGGCGAGCAGTCCATATTAAGGCCGAGCAGCTCGACATGTTGTGCAGCCGCGCGCCCATCATCGTAGCCGGCGGTGTGCATGTGATGGGAGGGTGAGGGAGTGGACGATGGTTGCGCCATATTTTGTTGGGTAGCGTAATGCGCTTGCGCTGTGCTCTGTGGACCGGGGCCAAGTAAGCTGAATATGGGCGGTTGGAAGAGTGTCTTATCGGGGCTGGGTAGACCCCAACTATTGCCAAGACCCGCCGACGGTGGTGACATTTGTCCAGGCAGCACACTCAATTGTGGCGAACCAATCTGCTGTTGCGCAGCTTGCTGATGTTGCTGCTGCTGTTGTTGCTGTTGCTGCTGCTGTTGCTGGGTAGCGGCAGCGGCTGCGGCGGCTGCGGAATGCAGGCCGCTCATTGCTGTATTACCTGTAGTGGTGAAAATGCCACGATATGATATTTTGCCGCTATTGCTATTGCTAGTTGCATGCGTTTGTTGTTGTTGTTGTTGTTGCTGCTGTTGTTGGTGTTGTTGCGCATGCTGTTGTTGTTGTTGTTGTTGGTGATGGTGGTGTTGATGGGCGTGTGGTTGATGAAGGCTATGCGCCGTATGTTGATAATGTGTGTGGTGTTGTTGTTGTTGTTGTTGCTGTTGCTGGTGGTGTGTATGATGACTATTGTGTTGCAGGTGTTGTTGCTGATGTTGTTGGTGTAAGGTGTTGTGGTGTGTTATTTGGTTTTGTTGTTGTTGTAAGTGATGTTGCTGCTGTTGCTGCTGATGTTGATACGGGTGATGGTGGTGGGGTGAGTGTTGGCCGGCATGTTGTTGGTGGTGTTGTGTGTGCTGTGTCTGTTGATGGTGATGTTGGCTTTGATGGTGTTGCTGTTGTTGTTGTTGTGGTTGTGTATTGTTTTGTGTACTTGTATTGGCGGTATTATTACATAATGTCGTGCTAGTTGCTGATGTTGTAGTTGTTGTTGTCTGATTCTGACTTAGATGTGTAGGGTACATGGTACAACTATTATTACTTGTTTCTTCCTTGACAATTGCCAAAGTAGGCGGCGTGCTGCGCTCCTCCTTCAATGGACTGCACAGCACCGGACTGGTCGTGGGCTGGGGTTCGAGGGACAAATCCTCGGATTCGATGGAACCTGCAAATAATAGATGTAAAATAAACTAATTTATAGTTGTTCATATTGCAAACAGTGGATTAAAGAGCTTAAATTAATTAAGATACTACAATAATTCTCTTTTTAGTTTTTTTTCTCTGCAAGTAGCTGGACGCTCTCGAAATATATTTGCGATTTCGTCTATACCACATGTAGCTCTTTTTCTACACCCCTCAACATAAAGAAAAAAGTCAACAACGTGTCAACTTACATGCTGCAACACCCAGCTGCACGCTATCAATTAATTTCATGCAACAATATCATTCAGCATTTTTCAAGCGCTTCCACAAAAAAAATATCCATGACCGAGTGATTTCCGCGAATGCCGCCCAGTAGTTGCCGACGCAAAGACGTTCGACGAACTTGACTGCTCGAATTGACAAAATCAAAATGCCAAACAGCAGCCAGCAACTCAGCGGATGCCAACCAGCCAGCCAGCGAGCCAGTCAGCTGGACGCTCCTTCGCGTTTCGCGAGAAATCAACACGGGAGGTCGGCAGCAGCAGCTTCAATTGCGAATTGCGGCACAAGAAAAATATCGACCGCCGCAGCAATGCATTGGTAAGCCACAACAACAACAGGCATGTTGGCTATAATGTTGATTGCCACCAAAGCAACAGCAGCTTCAAATGAAGGGAAAAAAGTGCGAATGAAGCACAGCTTTGGTGTCCAAAGAAGTCTAATTACATTCCGAACACCGATGCATGGACACTCTCTTGCTGCTGCTGATTTTTTTCATTACATTTTTTCTTGTGCTGCTTTGTCTGCATTGCGCGCATTCGCGTTATTCTTCGGTTGCGAATTGATTGAGTTGCAATGCGCTTTAAATGTGGCTTGACATCAATCCTGCGTTCGCACTGTGGCCGCATGTGAACACTTGTTGCAGTGATTATGAGCAGTGTCACAAACATACAAACACAATTGGATATGTGCGACCAGTGTTCGGGCAAAAGTACATGCATGCCATGCCTATGTTCGTTCGGAAGAATTCTTCAATGACGCAGTCAAAGCCAGCGCACTTATTGCCGTAGTGTGAAGTATTCTCAACTGGCATTTTATCGCACTTTCATTTATTTATTTATTTTTTTCCATTTTTTTTTGTTGATTTTTTTTTTGGTTTTTGCTTTGATTACCGCGCTTTCTTACTATAATTCTTATGTGGTTTCATATATCGTTGTTCTTGTGTTTAATTAAACCTCTGTTGAGTGCGACAGCTAGTCGAGTTTTTTTGCTGGTATTGTTGCATACATTTAATTACACGTTTTTGCTTTGCAAAAGTGTATCTGATCGCTTGTGATTAAATAAAGTTGCCTTTGGTCTAGCCCTTCATCGATTTACACTTTCATTACTCTGGTAATCTAGCTTGAAAGCGAAGTTGCTGTTGTCGGAAAGTGTCGTAGAAATTTTCATTGACACATTTTAACGAGCTACGCACGAAATCTTAAAAGATCTCACTGTTGTGTTTTGTATTATCTATAATCTAGCTGATAAAGCATACTGGATATAAAGCTAACATGCATAAGAGAATTAGAGAGGAGCAGCACTTTTAGGTAATGTTCGTGCAGTACAAGTATTTGATTTTAGGCATCCTACGGTTTAGACGAGTCGACTGAAATCAAAATTGGTTGCCCCAATAAACTTCTGTAAGGCGCAGGGCTCTGCGTGTGAACATGAAAGTCTTGTTATTCAAACTTAGAAATTTTTAACCGCACAAAAGTTCGATGTTGCAACAGACTAAGTGAGCTATCAGTCGCGGGGATAAGCCGATAGACGCAACATTAGTTTAAGCTAATTGATCTTTTAGTATAAGAAATGTTGACTAGTAAAATTTCAATCACAAAAAATTTAAAAATTTGTCACGTTCCGTTATATCACAAAGTCACAGCATACAGAGCGCGCTGCAAGTACTTCCAAAGAATTTTGCTATAATTTAAATATACTTTGAACCCTATGTGACTAATTCGACCTAAAAAATATTGGCATTAACTGCTTTGTGATCGGCTTCTCAAATTTTTTGCCCGCTAAAGTTTGAAACTGCCGCCACATTTTTTTTATTTTGGCTTATATGAAGCACCGTTTTATGAGAATTTGTTGCATCTCCGGAGAGTTCAGCGGAATTTTTAATGAATCTATTATGCTTAAGAGCTTTTGGCATAAAATTTCAAACGGCAGCAGCAGAAGCAGACGTCAGTTCCGTTTTATTAAAGATGAGAGAGAGATAGAGAGAAAAATAATGAGTGCAAGTTACTGCGCCAGTTATTACGCGCAACACACACACACAAATACATAAAAATATACAAATATCCCGTTACATACTTGCATTTAAATCTTTTCGCCTTGCTAATAAATTATTATAAATTGCCAAAATTTTATGGCTTATTTGCAGTTAATAAATATATATGTATACATGTTCGTATGTATGTATATATATGATATATTGTGCATGTTTTAGTCGCTGAGTTCATTGCGTCCGGACGAGTTAATATTATTTTATTGTTCTTAATGTACATTGAAATTCGTTGGGGATTCTGCCAATTTGTGACATGAAAAATGCGTTCGGCGTTGCCAAGTTTGGCGATTAAAAGCGACTTCATCATTGTCAAACAAAAAAATCACATACATCTACATACAATACAATGCAAGAAGTATACTAAGCATAAGAAAAATGTTTCGGTTTCGTATGAAATATTTGCAATGCTTAAGATGGCAAAGTGCACAAAGCGTAGTGGAAATGCGTTGCGAAGGAAAAATAAAAAAAATTTGGATGAAAAAAATTAAATAAAAAAAAAACTAAGGCAAAATAAATACAAAACTCAGTCAAGCACATTTAAATGCGACAAACAGCAGCAAGTCGGTATATTTTGGTCACTTAGCGTACACACACAAACATACAAAAGCAAAGATTTTGACAATTTTCTTGCTGCTCTGCATAACTTTTCCAAAAACAATGCAACAATTTCTATTTGCGTGGGCACACCAAAATTTTTCCTTCGCCGCTTGCCTGCTGCTATTGTTGTTGCGGCCATTGCTGGCGTTCGAAATTAAATGTTTTGTGAAATTTATGATGACAGCAACTTTTTATGTATTCATAGCTAATAAATGTATTTTATTGGATTTTTTCGTTTCGATTTTTTTCTTTTTGCTTTTCTTATACGTTTTTATCGCAGTAGCAGTTTCTTATTCAAAATATTTTTTAGAGACTTTTAGCCGCAAATGTATTTATACATACATCATAAAAAATATAATTAAGAAATATTAAGTAATTAATTGCAGCTGAATGCAGTCAGAATTTCTAAATAAAATATTTATACTCTGGCTACATTTATATTTAAGTGGCAATTGAAAAGCGTTAATAAAAAAAATGTGGCAAGCGGGAATATTTAAAAAATAATAATAAAAAAAAATAATTGGCGTTCTAGCTGTTAAATATTAAATAATACAAGTACTTCAATTAGTGGCAATAATTTTATTTGTAATTTTTATAATAATATTTGTTTTTATTCAAGTTTTGATGAGATTTTTTGTAATGGAGTATGTAAGAGTTAAGAAACTTTTTTTTATAACAGCTGTAAGTAAACTAAGCTTGAGCGTTTTGTATAAGAAATGCTCAATATATCTTTAAAAATTCTCAACATTGTAGGAAAAGTCTGTCTGCTTTAATGCTCAACAATTGGGGCAATCCTTTAGGCAACCAGCTGTCTTTAGTTTTTAAACTCAAGAAATATTCTCTTAATTTCAGCTTTTTTTTGTGGTTTTAGCGTGCAAATAGAAATAGAAAAATGTTTTTTGGTTAAATGTAGCTTAAAATCTCACCTTTCCAACACAGTACCTACGCTATGACAAAATACGAAAAGAGTTTTTCGACTACCTCTACCTAATATTATCGATTTCAAAAATCAGAATTTGAGTACGTATACAGAAACCCAGGAGCAAAAGGACTGTTTTTTGTTGAAAGCTGCAATATAAGGCGGCTAATTTTACTAAAATAGTGTATGCGCCTAAATGTAGGCAACATTTTTTTATATTTGTTTTACTTTTAATTAACTAAGAAAGCAAGCTTTAGTCGGACTGGATTGCTATATAATATTTAAAAAGTCGCAAATAATTGCATTATAACAAAAAAATAAAGACACTTTATTGTTATATGTATGTACACTTGTGCTCACATAATTAAGCCACTGCATAGCAAAACTACGTTTCTGAAAATAAATTCACCGAATTAGCTTTTCATTTGTATAACGGTAT